GTGCAGCCAGCAGGCTCTGATCCTCCGTGCCACGGAGAGCGACTCAGCCCCGTACAGCCAGCAGGCACTGATCCTCCGTGCCACGGAGAGCGACTCAGCCCCGTACAGCCAGCAGGCACTGATCCTCCGTGCCACGGAGAGCGTCTCAGCCCTGTGCAGCCAGCAGGCTCTGATCCTCCGTGCCATGGAGAGCGATTCAGCCCCGTGCAGCCAGCAGGTTCTGATCCTCCGTGCCCCATAGCTCCGGGGTGGGTGTGCAAGTGAGGGTGGGTCAGCAGTGGAGCTGCCCTATGGGGCTGGGGCACATGGAAGTGTCAGACGCGTGGGGAGAAGGGGCTGTGAAACAGAGACAGTTGGGAAAGAGGGTCACTGATCCTCCGTGCCACGGAGAGCGTCTCAGCCCTGTGCAGCCAGCAGGCTCTGATCCTCCGTGCCACGGAGAGCGTCTCAGCCCTGTGCAGCCAGCAGGCTCTGATCCTCCGTGCCACGGAGAGTGTCTCAGCCCCGTGCAGCCAGCAGGTTCTGATCCTCCGTGCCCCATAGCTCCGGGGTGGGTGTGCAAGTGAGGGTGGGTCAGCAGTGGAGCTGCCCTATGGGGCTGGGGCACATGGAAGTGTCAGACGCGTGGGGAGAAGGGGCTGTGAAACAGAGACAGTTGGGAAAGAGGGTCATCTTCTTTGGAAAACCAACTTTGTGTCCAAAAAATGAAAACTGAGCATATTGGGTTGGAGCTGCTTAGCCCCAGGTGGTTTTGGGGGCTGGTTTGAGGAAAACAGAAACTCTTCACAAAATGGTAGAAAAAAAAGTTTTGATTGAAATCTCTGAGCAGTCCCAGCCTGTAACCTCCTTCTCGGGGTATTTTCCCGGGCCCTTCTGGTGTTCACAGTTCTTTCTGATCAAGAGAAATGGGAAATGCATTTGTTGTACTTCACTACCCAGAGAACCCGCCCCCCCCTTGCTGCACGACAGGTTCCCAGCACAAAAGCAGTAACAGAGGGGCCACAACAGTCACACGGGGGAGCCAGATGCCGGGGTGCAGAGATCTGCCTGGGGTGTTTGGTTGGCTCAGACACTTTCTCTGTTTCCTTCACAACTACTATTAGCACACCCTGGTCCTCAGCTTCCAGCCCCTGAGAGCCAGCCGCCATTGCAGCACTGCTCACTGGGCGCGGCAGACCTGCAGCTAGCCTGTCCCCACCCTAGGGCAGCTCCGGGTGCTGCAGGGGGAGAACTCTTGCCTCGGGCTCTGCAGGTTCAGGTCGCAGCTGTGACATCCAGGCATCAGCAATGTCAGAACGGGTGCAAGCGGGGAGGTGGAATCATGGTGTCAGCTCCTGTGCTGGCAAGCTGTGTTACCCCTAAGCACGAGGGCTCCTGGCCGCCCAGCTGATTGGCAGAGCGCCCAGCGCTGGCAGCCTGGGTTTCTGTTGGTGGTGCACATCTGCACGTGCCTTGGTGCACACAACAACATTTATCCCACACATGGATGGAAACAATCAGAGGGCACATTGCTGGCAAGTAACTGGGAGCCTGGCCTGTGATCGTAGGTAGGGACTCCCCTCTGGCTTGCAGACACATTGGCTCCATGCTCTGACAGACCAGCCAGGCTTGGTTCCAGCTGCTGCTCTCCCGCTGGTACGTGTGAAACAGTCGGCTTTGGGCTTTGGACCCTGCCATCCCAGAACCAACCCAGGCAGCCCCTCCCGGCCCAGGCCCCCACCTCAGTGCCCTGCCCTAGAGTGGGGAGGGGGCTTTCCTCTCACCAAGTGTTGTTCTCACTTCTTTTCCAGGCTGCCCATCGGGGACGTTCAAGGCCAGCCAAGGGGATGAAGGGTGCGCTCACTGCCCAATTAACAGCCGGACCACGTCAGAAGGGGCCACCAACTGTGTGTGCCGAAATGGCTACTACCGGGCAGACTCCGACCCCCTGGACATGCCCTGCACCAGTAAGTGCTCCGCTGGCCGGGCAGGGAGGGGCAGCGGGAAAAGGCCCTTCCAGACCCTGAAACAGGGCCGAAGCTAATTCCAAGGGCCTGTCGCTGTCTAACCGGAATGCGTTGGTGCAGTCCGGGGCTGTCTGGGAAGACAGGCCAGTGGCCTAGGTGGGCAGTGCACACGCACACCCACCCCCCTCACGCCGGGAGCTCTCGAGCAGAGGGCGCTGGCTGGAGTCATTGTTAGTCCGAAGGTTGAGAGGGTTCGAATCATAGAAGATTCGAGCTGGAAGAGACCTCAGGAGGCCTCTAGCCAATCCCTCTGCTCAAAGCAGGACCAACCCCAACTCAGTCGTCCCAGCCATAACTTTGTCAGGCTGGACCTTAAAAATCTCTGAAAGGATGGAGATTCCACCCCGTCCCATCCCAGTGCTTCACCCCCTCCTAGGGAAATAGTTTTCCTAATATCCAACCTGGACCTCTCCCACTGTAACTTGAGCCCATTGCTCCTTGTTCTGCCACCTGTCACCACTGAGACCAGGCTCTCTCCAGCCTCTCTGGAACCCCCTTCAGGGAGTTGAAGGCTGCTCTCAAATCCCCCCTCACTCTTCTCTCTTCTGCGGACTAACCAAGCCCAAATCCCTCAGCCTCTCCTCATAGGTCATGTGCTCCAGCCCCCTCAGCATTTTGGTCGCCCTCCGCTGGACTCCCTCCAGTTTGTCCTCACCCTTTGGGTAGTGCTGGGTCTCTTAAATGAACAAGAAGAACCTCAGTCCAGCAAATCTCACCCACCTGGGAGTGAGCATGTGTGGTAAGGGGCCGTTCCAGGCTGTCTGATTTCACAGGGGCATCCGCGCTGCTCTCACCCAGGCAGTAAGTGGCAGAGCAGGGAACAGAACCCAGCGTTCAGTGCTCTGCTCTAACCACTGCACTGTCCTGCCAATTAGCAGCCCTGCGCAAGACTGCAGAGGACCAGCTAACTCAGGGGTGGTTTGGATTCTGGTCTGGAGCAGCACAAGCTCCGTGTGAATTGTGCTAATGGGTTTCTTCAGGGCCTGCTTCTGGATTTTCCCAGTTCCCCTGGTTGTGTTCGGATCCGGCACAGTCCTGCCCTGCTCGCACTTCCTCCCTCCGCACTTGGGAGTGGTAAATAAAAAGCAGGAAGGACGGGAGCATGGCATGGGCCCGGTGCCAGCTAATGTCCCTTCCAGGTCGCGGGGCTAGCGCCCCACCAGCCCAGAGCTGCTTTTCACCCGCAGCCTTCCTCTCGTAGGCTCCGTCTACACGGCATCATTTTTGCGGAAGAGGAAATGCAAATGAAGCGCTCATTAGCATTTCTCATGCTCTCATTTGCATATTTCTCATGCAAGAAGCCGCGTGTGTAGACAGCCTCTGGGAATTAGCTCTTCAGCCCAGGAGCGCCCCCTCTTGGCCCGCGTCTCGCCCACTGTTACCTGGTTTTGGCTTTGCCACCTTATATTAGAACCCACATCCCTCCCAGGCTATGTCTAGACTGCAGGCGGATCTTTCGAAAGAGAAATCCGCTTTTTCGAAAGAGAGCACCCAGCGAGTCTGGATGCTCTCTTTCGAAGACGGCCTCTTTACATTGAAGAACGCCTTCTTTCGAAAGAGGAGCTTTCGAAAGAAGGCGTTCTTCCTCGTGAAACGAGGTTTACCGCCATCGAAAGAAAAGCCGCGTTCTTTCGAAATAATTTCGAAAGAACGCGGCTTGAGTCTGGACGCAGGGGAAGTTTTTTCGGGAAAAGGCTACTTTTCCCGAAAAAACCCCTGAGTCTGGACACGGCCCCAGATGGAACACCCTCCCCTCCAGGTACTTCCCTGCTGCAGGGCCCCCACACTCTGGGGTCCTCCCCCTCAGGGAACCCCCAGCCCCCTCAGCCCACCTTGTCTCAGTGACCCACTGCCAGTCGCTATCTAGCCCCTGCCTCGGGCAAACTGCAGCCTGGAATGGCCACTCCTCACTGGCAGGGGGTGTGGACCAGCTGCCTCCCGCTGCCCTCATACTCCCAGGCCTTGTTCAGGCCCTGCAGCCTGGGAGCTTGCGTGGCCAGAGCCCCGCAGCCCTGCTCCAGCTCCTCTGGCAGCCAGGTCCCTCCTGCTCCCCCGCTGGAGCTGGAGTGAATGACTTTCTACTCCTCTAGGAGCCCTTATTTATACAGCCCCAGCTGGGCCCAAATTGCCTGCATCTGCCCCAGATGCCCAGCCCAAGGGGGTAGGGCTGGCAGTCCATGCATGTTCCTGAGGCAGCCTGCCGAGGGTCGGGCAGGCCAGTTCAGGGGAAACAACCAGCCATGGCAGGTACCAGCATTCCCTTCCCCATCGCACTCTCGGCACCTCCCCTGTGTGGATGAGCATGTGTGTGCTCTGCCCCATTGACTCTCACTGTCTCTCTTCCCCCTCCCCTCAGCCATCCCATCTGCCCCCCAGGCCGTGATCTCCAGCGTGAATGAGACGTCACTGATGCTGGAGTGGACCCCGCCGCGGGACTCTGGGGGCCGCGAGGACCTGGTCTACAACATCATCTGCAAGAGCTGTGGTTCGGGGCGCGGGGCGTGCACCCGCTGCGGGGACAATGTGCAGTTCTCCCCACGCCAGCTGGGCCTGACGGAGCCTCGCATCTACATCAGTGACCTGCTGGCCCACACCCAGTACACCTTTGAGATCCAGGCCGTGAACGGGGTCACCGACCAGAGCCCCTTCTCTCCGCAGTTCGCCTCGGTCAATATCACCACCAACCAAGCTGGTAAGGAGTTGCACTCCATGCTGCTGAGCCAGCCTCGGGGAGGGACTAGAGTCAGGAGCCCTGGCTCCCTGGTCCCACCTGAGGCATGGGCCGGGACCTGGGGATGCCAGCCGTTTCCCAGGGCACGCTCGTCCTAGCAGAGGCTGTGTGTGTTGTCCAGTGCCCGCCTGTCCTTGCTGTGCATGGGCTCTGAGCTCAGTGGCTGGGCTGGAGAGCTGGCAGTGCTCGCCTCGCAGAAGTGCTGCCAATGAGCCGGTGGGCAGCGCTACGGCAGAGGGGCTGCGGGGGAGCGTGGGTCGGTCTCCATCTTGGGCATTGGTCAGCGTTCAATCCCACAGTGTCGCCTCAGACTCCACCTCCCTCCCTCCAGCGCAGCCCTCCGCGCTGCACCTGTACCACCTGCCACCGTCGCAGGGCACGCCATGGCCTCGGCACAGCCCCTGGGATTCTCTCCTCAGCCCCAGGCTACTGGCTCCGTTGCCAGGGCATCCCAGGCTCCCTCGGTGGCCTCAGCTTCCCGTGGGCAACCAACGGAACTCATTCCAACAGCCGCCCCACAGGTGGGGGAATCGGTGGGTGACCAGCAACCCTCCAGTGAAGAGGGAGTCAGGCCAAGCTTCCTCTTCTTTGTCTGTAGGCGAAGGGGGAGTGCCACCAGACGGTGGGAGGCCTCCTAAAGAGAGTGGCAAGCAGAGGAGGTGCAGGAGACCTCAGACTCCCTTTTCGGTATCCTGGGACAGGTGGTACCCACCAGGGCACCTCTGCACAGGCCAGTAGCCAGGATAGCCAAAGGCCTCTGGCAGACCCCCTCAGCTATCCCACCCGTAGCAAAACAGGCTGAGCAGAAGTACTTTGTTCCTGCTAAGGACCGTGAGTACTTATATACTGATCTGCTCCCTAATTCCTTGATTGTAGAATCTGGAGCCAGTCCTCCTGCACTCCCAGGAATAAAGACTTGAAACTCCTGGACTTAAATGGATGTAAACTTTATTCCTCAGCACCTTTCAGCGCAGGGCGTAGAACCCCCAGGCCCTCTTTGTACGCCATGAGGCTCATACATGGCAGGCTATGGCCAAATTTGAGCCCCCCCCTTCCAGAAGGCCTCAAGGCCCTGACAAAGGAGGGCTCTTCCATGGCCATTGGCAGCTCTGCAGCTCGCTCCATGGCATTGGCCATCTTGCTGCAGCTGGCTGCTTGGCTCCTGCTCGGGCCTTTCCCCAGAAGTGCAGAGTTCCATCCAAGACCTCCCCTTTGTCACAGGTGCACTGTTTGCAGAACAACCAGACACCAAATGACACAGGCTTACGAAATCCCCCCCTGTTGTAAAGGCCTTGGGCCCGTACGTTCCTGGGATGGAGAGAAAGAAGTTCAAACCTCTGCCCTGCTACTGGCCAAGTGCACCAAGTGCACACTGGACTCCTTGCTTCCTCCGTTCGTTTTCCTCCAGAGTCCGCTCTTTCCTCCCAGCCCGGGGAGATATCACTTCGGACCATTGAGCCTTCGCCACAGGTCAGCATGGCGACGCCCTCCAGCTCTCCTCCACCTTCCCTCCCCTTCGGGGACCCTTCTCATGAGCACCACTTCCAGCAGCTGACTCACTTGCTCCAGGTGGCAGCAGTGGAAAGGGTCCTGCCCGGACTCGAGATCCAGGGTCTCTCCTCATGCTAGTTTTTCATTCCCAAAGCTAAAGGGGGCCTGTTCTCCATACTGGACATGAGTGACCTAAACAAGTACTTGGTCCACCTCAAGTTCCGCATGTTTTTCCCAGCCTCCGTTTTCCCCGACCTGGATCTTGGGCACTGGTGCCGCCCTCGACCTCGCAGACACGTATTTCCATATTGCCATCTTCCAGGGTCACAGACACTTCCTGCAGTTCGAGGTGAATTGCTGAACCACTAGCAATTCCCTGTCCTGCCCTTCAGCCTGCCAACAGCCCCCAGGATCTTTACCAGGTGTATGTGGCTCATAGTGGCGTATCTGAGGCGCCAAGGCTTGCACACGAGTGCATCTGGACAACTGGCTCATGAAGGGTCCAGCACCGTGCAGTGCTCCCACCGGACATGTGCCACCACCTCTGTCATTATTAGTGGCCATCCAAAGGGTCGAGCCCATTGGCACCGTGTGGGACTCCACCAAGGCCAGGGCGCTGCTTCCTCATGAGAAGTGTGAAGCCCTCTCGGCCCTCACACAGCAGCTTGTTCACACACCCATGACCCGACATGAGTGTGTCTGTGGATTCCTGGGCACGTGGCAGCACGCATGCAAGATGAGACCCCTCCAGCTGTGGCTAGCGTCCGTGTGTGCACTGGAAAGCTTGGTGGCAGTTCCAGATAACTTCCTGCAAACCCTTCAGTGGTGGGTTGTGAGAGAATTCGTTACATCTGGGATTCCCTTTCACCAGCAACTGCACTTGAGGGAACTCGTGGCCAACACCTCCTGCCACTTGGGTACCCCACAGACTCAAGGGCTATGTCCAGACTGCCTCCTCTTGCACAGTCAAAGTGTGGAATATCACCACACCTCATTTGCATAATTAAATAGGCTCCGTTTTTGCGCAAAACCCCCCTCTTGCGTAAGAGCCGTTCGTCTTGAAAAAAAGAGGTAGAACAGCTCTTGCGCAAGAGGGTTTTTTTTGTGCAAAAATGGAGCCTCATTAATTATGCAATTGAGGCACAGTGATATTCCACGCTTTGCCTCATTTGCATATTTTTTTGCACAAGAGGGGGCAGGCTAGACATAGCCAAGGAGCATGGTGCACTGGAGAGATGACCCTCCACATAAATGTCAAAGAGCTCGGAGTGTCAGAAACGCATTCGTAGTATTTCTTCCTCACCTCTGCGGCAAGGTGGTCAAGGTTAGGATACCGACAGTACGGCCGCCATGTACTACATCAGGAGGTGCTCGATCCCCAGAGCTCTGCAAAGAAGTGATGTGCCTGTAGGAATTCTGCGCTCTCCATGGCATCTTGTTGGAGGCACGTCACCTTCCCAGGGTGCGGAACACGGTCACGGACCGTCTCAGCAGAGAATTGTCTTCTCTTGCCTCCTTTCTCTTCCACGGGTGGCGTTCTCCCCAGTGGGCCTCTTTGTGAGGAGAGAAAACATGAAATGCAGCAAAGCCAGCTCCATGCTGGGCGCCCTTCTGTTCCTGTGGTCGGAGGCCTCCAAGGGCATCATTTTGGGCGCTTGTGCGGGGAGCAGCTGTGTGCTCCGGGACGGGACTGGCTGTCCATCCCGTTCCCCGGATTCTCAGGGAGTGAGGGGAAAGTGCCTGCGTTCTGCACATGCCTCAGACCTGGCTGGGAAGGTGACACCAAAGCCAGCTCCATGCTGGGCGCCCTTCTGTTCCTGTGGTCGGAGGCCTCCAAGGGCATCATTTTGGGCGCTTGTGCGGGGAGCAGCTGTGTGCTCCGGGACGGGACTGGCTGTCCATCCCGTTCCCCGGATTCTCAGGGAGTGAGGGGAAAGTGCCTGCGTTCTGCACATGCCTCAGACCTGGCTGGGAAGGTGACACTCCCCTCCCCTCCCCTCCCCTCCCCGCTCCCCCCGAAGTAGCAGCCTTCCTTCCCTCCGTTTCCCCTCGTTAGCAAAGTCCTACAGAAAATCAAATGGGCAGGGTGACTGTGATTCTTATTGCACCAGCCCTGGGTCGGCATCTTTATGAGCCTGCTGCCCCCTGCCCTTCGCCTGGACCTCTTGTCCCAAGACCACAAGCACCTGCTCCGCTGGCCACTGCACCTTCCGCGTGGTTCCTCAGTAGCTGAACCTCCAGGAGCAGGCCTGTTTGGATGCAGTTCAGAGGGCGCTCCTTGAAAGTAAAAGCCCCACAGAATGCTCAACTTACACAGCCACGTTTCTCAGCACGGGCACAACAAAGACACATCAGCAGGTCTGAGTCTTCCCTTCAGGAAATTCTTGACTATCTTCTGTACCTGAAGCAGCAGGGCTCAGCCCTAGCCTCAATCAGAGTCTTCCTAGACACCATATCCATGTGTCATGCGCCAAGGCAAGGTCTTTCTGGCTTTTCCCACAGCATGTAGCTGCTGGCAGCCAGATTTGAACTTGGAACCTCTGCAGCTTTAGTGTAGGAGCCTCTACAGCTTGTGCTATAAAGCCAGCTGGCTCACTCGTTCCCACAAGCCCAAGTTCCCCCTCCTGCAGTGGGACATGGCTCCCGGGACTGCTGTTCAGGCCTTTCGCCACATGTCCTCGCTCACTGCTTTGCTTTAAGAGGCCTTCCTGGTGGCAGTTACTTCGGCTCGAAGGGTGTCGGAGCGCCAGGCATGAACCTCCGAGACTCCGTCCACCCGTCTCTTGGAGGATAAGGTTCATCTCCAGCCTCATCCCGCCTTCCTTCCTAAGGTAGTCTCAGCCTTCCCTCTGGGCCGGCACATCTCTCTACCCAGCTTCTCCCCAAGCCCCATGCAAACAAGGAGGAAAGGCATCTCCCTGCTCTGGGTGGCAGCAGGGCACTGGTGCTCTGCTTAGAAAGAACGAGGCCCTTCTGCAAGTGCACCCGCTGAGTGTGAGCATCCCAAAGGCTCTGCAAGTGGGCACCTTTTATATCTGCACGCGCTCTGAGTGCTAGGGCCCATTGAGCTAGGGCTCACGCCTCTTTGCAGGCTTTTCTCACTCCTCTCCCGCGCCAGGACGTCTGCTGAGCAGCAAGGCGGTCGCCAGGCAGCGAGCTAGGGATGGCGCCGCGTTGGGCAGGGCTGCAGTGCAGTCTGCATGCCCTAAACTCCTGCCGCCTCCACAGATGCTGCCTGGAGTCACCTGCACTGAGCGGCCGTGAGCCAGCTCTCAGAAGGAAAGACGTGTCCCTGGCCTGTAACGGGCGTTCCTCGAGACGTCCATTCAGCCTGCTGCCTGCCTCCTGTCGGAGCTTTCAGCATGAAGGAATGGAAGAGGGAGGGCCCGGGAGCACCCAGGCTAGCGTGGCACACGCGCTATGCAGGGGGCCCTGCAGGTGCTGCTGAGGGAAACTCTTCCGGCATGGGT